TATATATATATATATGTCATGTGACTTGTCTGTTGGAAGCTCCTAAAACTTAAAGACAAACAAAACTAGTCAATTTTGATTTTGAAGAAGCACTGAGCAGCCAGACTACTACAGACCTCAAAAACAAGGAAAAAGGCTACATATCATCAAAGAGCTATAGAGCTATAGCCAACTAAGCATAATTCTTTTCGAAATAATTCCAATTTTTGTTCCTCAACTACAAGTAAAATTCAACTTCTGGTCCCTGTGGATAGAAATGGTTCCCAACTGTTGATTGTTGAAACTTGAAAATGTTAGTCAACCATAAGGTCGATTCCTATTACTAGAATATTAGTAGTAGTTTGTCTCTTTTCTACCTTAAACATTCTTCTTCTTCTTCTTCTTCTTCTCTCTCTCTCTCTCTCCATATGCTTGTAGCCTTTGGCCTAAACATTAGTTTTTGCTCTCTCTATTCGTTGCCTATTTCTGGCAAGAATAGGCCCATACTGATATTGGCAATTTTTTTTCCTTGGAAGGATCACACCCTTCCACCTATATTAGGAACCAATAATCATCTGTCTCAAATTGAGAAGATAAAAATTATAATGGGAAAGATATTTAAAAAAAAAAAAAAAAAACAAGTATTAGAAGAAGGCTAAGGTCATGTGACTTGTCTGTTGGAAGCTCCTAAAACTTCAAGACAAACAAAACTAGTCAATTTTGATTTTGAAGAACTGAGCAGCCAGACTGCTAGAGACCTCAAAAAACAAGCCAAAAGGGCTACATATCACCAAAGAGCTATAGCCAACTAAGCATAATTCTTTTCAAAATAATCCCACTTTTTGTTCCTCAACTGCAAGTAAAATTCAACTTCTGATCCTTGTGGATAGAAATGGTTCCCAGGTATTGAAAATGTAAGTCAACCGCAAGGTAGATTCTACATACCAGCTACATTGTTCCTTTAAATTCAATAATGGTGCCAACATGACCAAAATAAATTAAGCACAAAAATTTCAAACCTTCTAGAATAATGTGACATCTTTGGTCTAAACTAATTTTGCTTCATATTTGACTCTGTAATGGATGACTAGATAGGATATGCATAAGCCTAATAATAAAATACTAACCATTAATCAATCAATATCTACCCACCCCCACTCACACCACTAGCTAAACAAGCCAAATTAGGCATTATGAATTCTAAATACCAATAACAAAGTTCAGGATCTGTAGTCGGTAAATCTGTATTTCATCTAAAAATTGGTTATACCTGCAACTCAAGAAAAGTATCTAAAAATAACAAATAAAAGTCCTACTGAATTACTGCAATATTCCAAAATTCTATTTCACTCGCTACAAGCTATAACAAAATTGAAATAAAGACGTGCACCAATGCATTCAAATGTATCATAAAAGTCCTAAAAACATAGAATTCCCATAAATTTGTGAGCAAAATATTATTATGAATATAAAATTTTACCGCACAAGAAAGAAAAAAAAAAAAAAAAAAAAGGAATAAATTAAAAGAATTACGCAGAAATTTACCTCAAGAGGCGGGTGGAGAGAAACCGAGAGAGGGCATTGAGAACGGAGATGATTCAGAAACGCAGGCCTCGACTGAAACCGACACATAGGCGGCGGCGACGGCGACGGAGATGGGGAAGATGATGCTAGGGTCTGAATCGAAGAAACGATACCGACGCAGAGCAAAAACAGTCGCATTATGGTGGAAGACGACGCCATTGGGGAGGGGAGATCAGAAATCTCAGAAGAAAATTGAGAAATTGCGGAGCTATCAGATTCCTAGTTTGCTCCCTATAATAAAATGTATCCGCCCGCGTATGCGAATCGATGATTGTTTAATTAATAGTAATAATGGTGTTGACCGGCTGGCTTAGAAGTTAGAAGGGTATTGGGTTTCCGGTCAACGCTGGAGGTGGTTGATCATAATTTAGGCTGAAAATGAAAATACATAATAAATAGCATTATCTATTTTTATATCTTCGTGGTGATAAGAAAGCCCACCCTTCCACAGTTCCACTATCATTATTCATTATTCATTAACCATAATTAATTAATCCGATTCATATTCATTAAGGGTCCATTTGAAAAGTATGAAAATAATTTCGAAGAAATGATTTTCTTTTTCATAATTTTGAAAAATTATTTTGATGTATTTGATTTATTTTCTAAAAAATAGTAAAATTATATAATTAAATATTTTAATTATTTTATTTAGAATATAAAAATATTTATAATAATATTAAATATAATTTTATTTATTACAAATTATATTAAAATTATCCACAGCAGAAGAATTATCCAAATTGTTGGCCGGAAAGCTCCTGAACTCATTTGATGGCAACAACAGAAGAATTATCCAAATTATCAATCACAACAGTCTTGTAGCCAGACATCAGCTCATGACTCTTCGCCGAAAACCGTACCTGCGTACCTGTGATGTTTTTTTTTTTTTTTTTAAAGGTTTCCGGCCGCCGGAAACCATGTTTGGTATTTGGCGGAAAATGACTTCCGTCAAATTTGTCAAAATCACTTGATTTTTTTTAGTCGATAGAAAATATTTTTCGTTGAGTGGATTTTTCAATGACATCTAAATATGAAAAATTTAGAAAATAATTCGGGTTTCCAAACACAGCCTAAAAAAAGTCAGAGCTCATATTGGGTTGATTATGAATTGAGTAAATACCCAAAATGGTCCCTCGACTATAGCTAAATTCACAAAATGATTCTCGACTTTCAATTTCAACCAATTAAGTCCTTAACTTTGCAATTTTGACATGATTTTGTCCTCCATCTATTTGACCGTTTGTTAACCGTGATCGACGATCTCTAGAGGAACCTTCAGCTCTCGTCGGAGCACGTGGAGGCCTCCAGGATGATGTTACACTGGTTCGAAAACACGCTGTCTTCTTCGCTCTGGTACGAACTCAACTACATTGAATCCAAAGGGAGGATGAAGAAAGACGACCGGATTTGGTAGATTACTTTCGACAGTGGATTCAAATGTAACAGTGCGGTCTGGAAATGCAACCGGAACCTTAAAAAACCGACGGTGGACCATGAAATTACATATATATCCTCAAAAATCACAGTCAACAAATGGTCAAATAGATGGAGGACCAAATCGTGTCAAAATTACAAAGTTAAGGACTTAATTGGTTGAAATTGAAAGTCGATGACCAATTTGTGAATTTAGCTATAGTCGATGGACCATTTTGGGTATTTACTCTTATGAATTTACTTGGCTTTACCTTCTGCTGGTTTTAACAGGAAACAACAGGTGGAATACTTGCTTTTTTAGTTATTTTTTAAATATAAATTTAAAATGGTGTATGTGTAATGACCGAATTAGTACCTTGACTATAGCAAAATTATCAATTTAGTTCCGAATTAACGAATGTATAACGGCAAAACAAATAGAGGATTAAATTAGTTATGATTTTTAAGTTAAGAGACTTAATTGGTAAAAAAAATAATCAGTGGTTAATTAGTTATGATTTTTAATTGATTTTTAACCAACCTTAGCATCTTAAACGGTGACGTCTTAGCTTGCTTCATTTATTTCCACTGCTTAATTAGTAAATACCCCTTTCCAACAGAAACTCCTTACCCTCAAGGATCAAATTTTGCTAGAAACTGTGTTTTCAAATGGTGATGATCTTCCCACATAGCCTCCTCTAGTAAAAGATTCACCCACTGTACAAGGACTTCAACCACAACAACATTGTTTTTCTTTAGGATTCTCCTCTCCAATATAGCAATCGATTCATAGATCAAAGTAATGCTTTTACTATATATATATATATATATATATATATATATATATATATATCTAAAAACATAATAAACTTCAATCCAGGTTATACCCCTGGTTTATGTCCGTTTTTTATGTTAAATTCTTTTGTACCTTATGCTATAAAAGTTGTACTACATAATTTTTTGGACAAAAATATCTCTGCAGTTATAACTTCTGTTATCTTTCTACATTATTATTACCATGTACATGCATACATAATATTATTTCTTACATCCTTCCATAGTAAGTTTGAATTCATTTAAGTTTTAATTAAAATGTTACCATAGTTATATTTAATAATTTATCATTTCTATAATTTTTACCTCAAAAATATTAATATGAATTATACAATTATACACACACACACAATATATATATATATATATATATATATATATATATATATATATATATATATGATCCTACTTACATTTACCTCTTCATCATGGAAAATGCATTCTTTGTGCTAATTTGACTTACAAGAAGGTATTGGAATGACATTTTTAATAATAATTGAAATGATTGGTCTCATTTTTTATCTGATCAAAGAGAATGTAATAAATATTCTATATTTTCTCTAAACTGATCCTGTGACCTTCCCTCAATGGGAGACACAAAGGTGTCATCAAGCACAAGGTGCTTTGCGTTTTAATATTACTTCATAAGCCAAAAACGATGTTGTTTTTTATGGGCAGGAAACTGACGTGGCAAAAACATTTGGCTATTATATGGAAAATACTATATGTACTCCCATTTTCTACTCCAAATTTTTAATTCCACACACAAAATCTTGATGTAAAGACTTCTATTGAGACCCACATAAAAAAAAAAAAAATAGTTTATCAGTGTCTGCCACATCAATAAAATTGAAAGAGTATGATCTGAGAGTCTAGAACTCCTATTATATAGAGTATAAGAAGTAAGATAAAGATAAAATATGATAAGATAAAAGATAGTACTAACAAAATCAGGGGAAAGTTTCCAAGGACAAGTAATCAGCCTATTCAGTCCCGGCCCTCTAGCTAGGCTCTAGCTACCAGATTCAACGTACGTTTAACATAAGAGACAGATAAACGATGAACACAACGTTAGACATTGTTGGGCCAATTAAGATACCAACATACCACAAATCCAGTTGAAGAATGTGGAGTGATCGAGTTCATGGATCTGCATCTATCTATCTATCTAGCTAGGAATCTGCAGTTTAATAAGTGTTGGATAAAGAACACAAGGGAGGCAGATCCCAGAGGGATTCGCCTGCGCCATCCTTGATGATGGCTTGCATATACTCTTCAACCCTCATTCTCTCAAATTCTGAGATTCCCATTTCAGCTACTGTAGTCGTCTTGGGAAATTCTATTAGTTCTTCACCAAATTCATCAATGCTTTTCTCCAAACTCCATGACGACGAGCCCTTCTGGAGTTCATATGAACAGCTGTGCAAATCAGCATCAAACTGTGTCTTCTGGATATCATAATAAGAAAATAATGAATCTTCTGTGTCTGGAATATTCATCTTCCCATTAGACGACACAGAATCATTATCATCTAAATTATTATTATTATTATTATTCCTTCTGCAGGTAAGGATAGTATTAGAGGAAGATGATTTTGGTTGAGGCTTTGAGCAGTTTTTGGTGTTGAGAAGGTTTGTGATTCGAGCAGCGAGGGGAGAATCTGCAGGAAGACGATGATGAGTAACAAAGTTTGTCCGCGCGTTTGATCCACGAAGGAGGCAAGCAGCCTGATCATAAGCCCGGGCAGCTTCTTCTGCTGTTGCATAGGTTCCCAGCCACATCCTTATTTTATGTGTTGTGGTGTCTTTGATCTCCGCTACCCATCTCCCAGAACCCCTTTGCCTCACTCCCACAAACTTCTTCTTAAGCTTGTTGTCACTCTGCCTCCTCTCCTGCTCCTGGGATTTCATCACTTCTTTATCATGTTGTTGCCCATGAATCTCCATGGATCGGATCGGATCGCAGTATATATATACGGTAAAGATTATATTATTTGAGGCTGGCTTTTAAGGATATTTAGTTGATGAGGATGTCTTTGTTCTTGCAGTTGATCGAGGAGTACGTGCTATAGCCTATATATATGTGGAGGTTTGAGTTTTCTATGATCCAAAATTTGTGTTGATAAACACTTTGGTTGGTGTGAGTGATCGTGGTTTCGTGCACTCTCATTTCTTAGAGAGGTGGGGAGTTTAAAACCGCCTATCGTATGAACATTTTGTCCTTTAATTGGGCTGACCTGGTACGAACAGGGATTAATCTAAGTATGATAGGGGCTTAAAAGGATCGAACTAGTGCGAACTGTCTGCCAATGGACTTATACATACTTTCACCTATAAATGCATATAATTTTGTCTTATTAACATTCATGCACCTAGATGCAACTACTTATAACTATAGGGGCACCTAGTTATAATATTAGGTGCACTTAATTTTGATGCTCAGTATAAATTTTACATGCACATGTAACACATTTTACCTGCACTTGTAATACATTTTATATGCATTATATGAAACTGTTACTTGCACTTGTAATATATTTTACTTGCACTTCGATGCTCAATTATTTACAAAAATGTAGTTTACTCTTTCCAAGACTAGAAGGATCTTTCAAGAAAAGGAGCCATATATGCAGTCTTGCCCTCGTATATGCTCATTGTAACAAGGAAGCATAGTACGAGGTGATATGAAACAACATTATTGCAAACAAATTAAATACTATGAGGCTGTATGAGTACTGCTAATTTTTGTTTGTTTATCATTGTTTGGTTATACATCCTTAGAGAAAAACTATTGCGTGTGCTGATTGAATAATTACCCACTATGACCCTTTCATATTTTGTTTACATACAAATGTCAATGCTATTGGCCAACTGGCCAAGGTTTATGTAACTCTTGTTTAGTAGTTTTATTTTTCCTGCTATATTCAAAAACTAGTAATTCACCGGCGCGATGCACGGGAAAAAATTATGTTATTATAAATATAAATAAAAAATAGAAAAACTAAAATATTTTAAATTATTTAATATAATAATATTTTTGAGCTTTCATTGGTCAAGTATTTATTATTTTTATAGAATACAAAATTACAATTAAAATTAAAATTATAATTTTGTATGATTAATATAATCTCTAATTATGTGCATATTCAAATAAACTTATAGAGAGAATTTACATAATTACATTGATTTATTCTTAATTGTATTTCATCTATATTATAATTTTCACAATACGAATAATAACTAAGATAATTACATTTGGAAAGCAAATTTCAAATTTTGTATGTGTAAATTTAAACTCTAATTGAACACATTTTTTATATGATTATATAATATATAACTATTTTATTTTTCAAAAGTATATTTTTATATGATTATATAATATATAGTTATTTTATTTTTTAAATGTTGTATTTTTTTTTTTATAATAAAAGATGTTGTGGCATTAATTGTAGCATTAATTATTTCCCAAACCTTATAGTTTTATTATATAAAGTATATGTTTGACATAATAATTGAAGCAAGTTTGAATGAATTGTGGTTAGAACATTTGAAACCATTCATCACCATTTTGTGTAAGTTTCAACTAAAGAAATAAATAAGCATTGAGAGTGAACCGATTGGAGCAATTAAATCATTCTGATTTTACTATTATATTGTTCTAACTACTATTCCAATTTTATAGTTTATTCAAAGAAAATTTTAAAAAATACGTCAAATCTAAGAAAAGGATTATAGAAACATGAAATGGGGTCACGTGGAGACAAAATAGAGGCCTTAATTATATATGACCTAATAATAACACTGACAAACAAAGACAATATAAGTACTCAGTCAGTATTAATGAGCTAGTCAAAACACCAAATAATAAAAAATCGGTCTGAAACGGATAAATAGGTAATACATTATTTTTATATCAAAAGGTCTTGAGTGTGATTTTTGTTTTTTAATTGAATTCACACAAGATGTTTTTAATGTAATTTATCTCTTTTATATATAGTTATAAATTATTACACAGAATTGAAATTTACGTGATACACACCTTCAATAATAATTATTGATTCCTCATTATCCCAAATAATTAAAAATCTTATCATTGCCCTTGTCATCCCAAATGATTAAGAATCTTATCCTCCAAGTTGCTTTAGGGAATGATATTACCAATGTAAAAAAAAAAACAAAAAAAAAAAACAAAAAAAAAAAAAAACAAAACAAAACAAAAAAACAAAAGAATAAGTACAAATAAATAAATAAAAGGTGATAAAGACATGGATGAATATAATTCTATGTTGAAGACTCACAATTGTGGATGGGGATACCAGCACCCTAGGTTATATAGAATTGAATCATGTAAAAATAATTATTCTCTTTAAAAATAAAAATGAATATCATTCGTCTATTGTAAATAGTTGAAGCTAGGATGAGATTCGTATTTAAATGAAAAATGTAATAATATTTCTGTAACTATTAAAAACTTTTATTGTATCATTTTGAAAAAAAAAAAAAAATACTTGTTAAAATAAGTCAAAGTTTTAATGAAAGAAAACTTAAGAAGAAAAATCATGAGGTTTTTTGGATTAAGAAAAGCTAAAGGATTCATGTATTTTGTTGTAATGTTACATATTGATGCTTGGCCTTATTTGGAAGTCATTGACTTAATTACCGATTTGGTCCCTCGACGGATTTCACCAATTTGATCTTCGATTATCAAAATTCCTCAATTTAGTCCTCGACTATGGTATTTTTATCCGATTTGGTCTTAAAGTCAAGCCAACTTGTTTAAGGCAATAAACTTGAAGATATTTTTGTAATTGCACATTGTTTCCTTTCTCGACTGTCTCAGTGGGCGAGCAAAGCACCGGCACGTGTGGATTGACTTCTGGTTTCAGCTAGCTCCTTTCCGGCGACCTCTCACCCTCGCTCCTCACTCGTTGACGACATAGACTGTAGATTGGCGAAGTGTTGACCAGTGACAGTAGCAAGGCATGGCGGTGGACCTTCGTCTCTCTCTCTCTCCCTCGCCTATCCCTCTCATCTCAAAAGCAACTTCGGCGATGTCCTTTTCCGGCAAAGCAGAGCAGGTTAGTAGCGAGCAACGGTCTCCCTCTCTCGCGGCGGCAGTAGCAACTCCCACCTTCTAACTTCATTCCCCTCTCTCGGTTAACCTAGCAGTAGTAGTTGGATGTAGCGTTGACTGGCGTGCAACGACGGCGGAACGTTCTGGCAGCATCCGCGAAGTTGTGGATGGTGGTGGTGTCCGGCGGTGTAGTTGAGAGGTGATCGGCTATGATGTTGAGTTGATGTTGAGAATGAAGGGTGAAGTCTAGTGAAGAAATGGCATGTTGGCATTGATGATGATGATGTTGGCTGGAAATTGGAGATGATAATAATAATTTGGGTTGAAGATGATGAGGTAATAATAATTCTTTTTAATAATTCTCAAATTGCCCTTTAGGTTTGACCGGAAAATAACACTTAGGACCAAATCAGGTAAAATGCCATAGTCAGGGACTAAATTGAGAAATTTTGATAGTCGAGGATCAAATTAGTGAAATCCTCATAGTCGAGGGACCAAATCGGTAATTAACTCGAAAGCCATTAATGGAGTCTCATAACTTTGTAATATGGGAGAAATGAATGCTACGGGTAGTGATCGATCTTGAAATTAAAGAGAAATATAGTTTTGAAAAGTAGTGCTTAAATGGTTGGGTTGTAGAAATTCCTACTTCTAATGTTATTGTCTTTCTCGCCTTTATAATCCTAGCTAGACTTCAAATGAGAACTAATTGAATCTTCATCGACTAGTAAATTTGTTTTGACCTTTAAACTAGTTGAGTTTTGACAAATTGATTGATTAGGAGGAAACTAGTTGAGTTTTGACAAATTGATTGATTAGGAGGAAAAATCACCTGAATTGCTCTGTGGAGATAGTCTAGTTGGTCGTTAATTTGATCACCTTAAAGTCTTGCGACGTACAGGCACAATGTGAGGGTTTGAATCAGCCTAGGCGGCCGCTCAGACGTTGACTAGGCGCTAGGGTGCCCCGTTTTTTTTTTTAATTAATTATTATCAATATCATAGTAACAAATGCAGGCATTGTGAATGAGATTCATATTGTTGTTGGTTACATCTGACGACTGTGCCTGTGTTATGTTTGGCAACAATTGAGGTATGTGAAAGACCGACCATATGCTACTTTTGCCAACAATTTTCCTAACACAAATTTCTATAACTTCAAAAACAAAGGAAAAACAAAAAAGATTCCTTAAATTTCCATCTAAACACTAGTGATGGATGAGTTGTGTATGAATCTGTGTGCTGCTTAATTTCATGGTGTTGCAGCAACTTGATTCAACAACAACATTGATTCTCTTCCCATAGGACTTTTGCTTGCATTTGCTTCTCTGCAGGACAGGTGGTGCTTGGGCGTGGTTCGAGCAGATTTTCGCGGGGATGAAAATGTGCTCTTGGGAGACAAATTCACCTCCTCCAACACGCGAAACTGGAGCTCCACTGGATAGTCCCTCACGCATCCAATTCGCGGTCCAGCTCCCGTTGTCCATCTGCATGATAACTGGTCTGCCAGCTGATACGACTTCATTCCTTGGTGTGACACTATTCTTCTCGCAATCTTTTCTTTCGGGACAGGCTCCTCGTAGTCTTCCTCAGTTTCTCCATCGAATAAGTTATGCTTAGAGACTGAGAACTCGGTGTCTGACAAGTATTCTTCTGCTGTTTCGTACCCACCTGCAGGTGTTTCTACGACGGGGCTACTCGTTCCTGCCTGCCCTTTCTCTTCATCCCTGAACATCTCGAGTATATCCTCCCTCTTTGGAATTTCAAGTACTGGAATGTTTGGTCGCAATCTACTAGACCGCCTTGACCTGCAGGGCGCCCTCACATTTTCTACTTTGCTATATGTTATGCTCGACGACTCCTCTTCTTTCCCCGTCTTCAAATCTGGTTCTGACATGCTACTACGCAGGCTAAAGCTGTATTCCTTCTTAATGAACGACCCCTCCTCGTCCACACTTGGTGCTCTCTGCACAATCACGACAATAGTATCTTAATATTACGAAAGTAAAGAGAGAGTTTCTAATGTGCTGTCTGATATTGTCTCAAACTGTCATATAGAAAAGAGAATACAAAGCCCTATAAATAGGAGCTAGAAGACTATGAAAAAGAAACAAGTTTCCATATGTCTTACCTTCCTAAATCAGTAAGACTGTCTAATCTATATATCAAATATATATTCCATAACACTTCAGTTTCCGCAACATAAAAGAGTTCTAAACTTTGATCGTTCAAGACTGCAAGTTACTTGTATATATGTACCTTGACCAAAGTGATGTCAACGTTATGTTGCTCGAGGAAACAAATGAACTCCTCGAAATTCTCCTCCGTTGGGAGATAATGTCCACTGTGAGGCCAGACCGCCTATATTATACCAGCCCATAAAAGGGTATCAATCTGCAGGGTTCTTAGTTAAAGACTTAAAGTTAAAGTTAAGTACTGATCTTGTACCTTCAAAATGCCATTTTCAACAACTAATCTTCCAGCGGCCAATGTTGCACCACCAGCCAAGAAACTAGAGTGTTGGAAAGTTCCTTTACGCTTCTGCCCAACATACAAAACCCTGGACACGCTAAGCACAAAGATCCACTTCGTATCGTCGGTGCATTCCCTCGTGTCAACCAACTTTCCAGAATGTTTATACAAAAAATTTCCATCTACCACTTTGACTTGATATGCCTCCCTCTCTACCTGTGAAATTGCATTAAATGATTGAAGACACTGAGAGAGCAAATAATTATGGATTTCACTATGGAAGAAGAAGAAGAAGAAGAAGAAGCTCACCGGACCAAGATACTTGATGCACTGTTGTTGAAGTTTTGATCGTTGACATCTCTCGAGATTTACTTCTCTGCCTTCACCTATGTCCAACCTGCAGTGGTGATTTGATTCAAGGAGATCGAGAAGAGTTTCAATTTTCTAGACGTTGAACCTTTTCCGAGTCAAAGCAAAACTTACCAATAGAAGAAGGCTTGTCTGCTGTCACATTGAAGCCACTTGGCATAATAAAATTGAAGATTGTGACCATAGCGATGGCGAGGATCAATCTATACACACAAGTTTGAATGGATGTCAATGAAAAAACACAGTGAAAGCGACTTAGTATGCTTACATGAAGTATTATAGAACTTACCGCTTCAAGCCAATGCTGCAAAGCAAGTTTGCGTGCCTGTCCAGCTTTAGACAAACCTTTTCCCACCTACCAACAATGGAAAAAATCTTCGATTTCAGAATTAAATGTCATAGTTTAACCGAAGGATTCTTTGAGCAGTGACCCAATCCTTACCATAGCAGCTTTTGTCATCGCTCTTGACCAACGTGAAACAGCAGTTTCAGGTCTATCAATGTCGAAGAATGATATAGCATTGAGTTTGGGTTCAACCGAATCTACAAGCTTCCACCTGCACATTATATATGCACAAAATTGAGCAAATAGCACAAAGCATCTGTGATAAAACTTTATCGTTTTTCATCATTTATCCTGTGCGGTGGGTTCCAAGCAACACGTGGACCGACCTTTGACATGGCTCTGATATCAAATTGAAGCATGTGCTCCATCTCAACTAAAAGCCTAAGCTGATAGTTGGCTATATTCTCAACATGATTTAAGTATTAAATATAATATCTGTCTTGTTAATTGGCTACTTCTTCTCCAATCCAGCAATATGAAATGGATCAATCTGTTATCCAAAAACGTCTGATCCCTAAGAACATGAACAACAACTTTGATGCTTACCATCTTTGTTCGACGAGGACAGCACAATCTGCTAGTTGTCTCCGGGTGCGAAAACTTTTATAAGTCTTCTGCACTTTTACTGCAGCCTGGTTTCTTTGGTCACGGGTATTTGGAGGTGGCATTGAGATAGTGCCTGGTGAAGGCGATTTGACAGAAAATTGTCGACTTCCATGGCCGTATGATCTAATCACATAAGGAGACAAGAATGGCTTCTTGGTCACAAATTCAATCCCATTGAAGCTAACAGACCCTTTAAGGATCATCTTTACAGAACCAGAGGACTTCAACATGGAAGGTCCAGAACCATCTAAACTCTTCGGTAGTTTAGCCTTCTTCACTCCCTTTCCTCCAAAGCTTATTGTTCTCACTAAATAAGATTCAATCTGACTATCCAAATTGTTAAGATTGGACAACGAGGAGGAAAAGGATGTTCCCATTTTTGCAAAAAAAACCTGTGAATGTATCAAATTATAATGACAACACAATAATTCTATGGAGAAACCCCATCTCCTAAGCATTATAAGATATATACCTCCAATATCATAGCATTACCATTGTCCTAAAATTCATTCCAAAACAGCAAAGTTACAATGTGGAAAGTGCATTTCACACCATTCCAACGTTGGATTTAATCCAATTATATTCAAATGCAATTAACCAAACCAAAGGAATGCCTCATATTCGTTTATGTGAATTCACACACCAAAATCAACACAACCCCAATGCTAAAAATGCAATCTTTACAGGGCGTTTGGTTCACTGTAATTTAGCTGTAGTTGAATTGCAATTCAGTGGATGTCTCACTTACATTGTTTGGTTGGAGGGAATTGCAATTCCGAATTGCAATTCATGGGGTACCCCGTACCCATGAATTGCAATTCAATGAATTTGAGAAAGGAAAAACATATGAAATAACACTACTACCCTTGGTTGTTATTACTATTATTATTATTAGACAAGGTATTTTAGTCTTTATACCATTTATTTCCTTCTCAATTCCAATAATTCTATTTCTCTCTACCAAACAACGTAATTTGAATTTCTACTTTATTCTCACCTTATTCTTTTCCTACTGAATTACAATTCCTTTCCCCCTAATTCCTTCCTTCCAACCAAATGCCCCGTTAATGCATAGTCTGAATCCATTTTCTTTTTTTGGTCAAACCATGAAGTGTCCCGAACCTATACCATTCCCCTTTCGCACCGGGCCGACCCAATTAAGGGGCAAAGTACTGGCCAAATTCATACAATAGTGGGTTCAAATTTCCGATCTCTTTTAAGAGATGAAAGGGCACGGCCACTCACGTCTTAGGCCAACCAAGCTGGTTTGAATCCATTTTCTTAGCGTACACCGCATGCCAACACAAACCCAAATTTCAAAATCCAATCTTTTAAGCAAAAACTGCATTGCATCAGAAAACATCAAACATAAATAAACACCAAAATGTGTTTTCACCTTGTTAAAGAAGGCCTCAATGGCAATGCTGCACGTTCAAACAGACAAAAAAGAGAGCAGTTAGAACATTATGATTAAAATGAGAAGCTAGGATTGGTCGTGATGCAAAAGGAGAGAGAATTGCAGAGAGCAAATAGGAAGATGATAAGGAGAATGGAAGGAGGAAGGGAAATGAAAGAGTGAAAGGGGTGGGTTTCCCCTTGGAAATTGAAGAAAGAAAAACGGAGTGGCCCTCCTCAATTGTTTTTCTGCGTTTCTCTCCCCCTCAACAGGCCCGACATTGTGTGTGGAGACATTTAAATACAGGGACGATGTATGCTTTAGCTGTGCTTAATGTAATCCAACAATTACACCATTTTTGTAGGGGGACGACGTAATTATATATCATACTCCGTGATGACATACTTTGTCAACCACGTGTTTCTCTACTTCTTCACTACACCACTATACAATTACAATACAATACTCCTTTTTTTTTTTTTAATTGATGATGAAAGTAGCGTGTTTGGTCCCTAACGTTAGATTTCTGTTTCAACTTGACGGAAAATCCAAATATGTTTTATTATTGGAGGAGTAAAATAGGAAATTCACATTTTTTCCTTCTTATATTGGAACCATTTTTGCAACATTATTTTCCGCTTCCCAACTTCCTATTTCAAGATTTTTCAAATCCAACAGCATTTCAATAATCTTCATATGACTTGTTAGAAACATCGGTCTCTTATAAGGAACATGAGACTCTGTACAAAGGAACACTTGATCATCTTCTTCAAGTGTGTGAAGCTCACTATCATAAAAGTTTCTAATTTCTTGTAAAATTATTACAGATATTTAAATACTATTTCACCGGTTGTTATATCGTGCACCAGGACGCACAATGCATTGTGCGCCCGCCCTACCCAAAACGATGTCGTTTTGGTGCATTGTCCAAAAAAAATTCTCTGTTTCGAATACACATAAACTCACAACGGAGTACACAGAAACTCATAACTAGGGGTATTAATACGGGCCGGCCCGCCCCACCGCGGGCTTTTTATTTGACGGGCTTTGGCGGGCCGGGCCGCGAAGCCCGCGGGCTTGCGGGTCCCACGGGCCATCACTTAAATTTAAGAAAACCATTAAATAGTATATAAACATGTTAAAAATGCTTGAAATATGGCACGAGAAACTTCCATAAAATCCATAAACCTCGCCAAATCTCCCGGATCGATACCGCGCGTTCAGCAGAACTGTAGAAGGGTGATCAAGCTAGGGTTCAACAGCACACTCGATTTCTCTCTCGGCTTCAGATTTTCCCTCTACAATTTCCGTCTGTGTATAATACATATATAAATATGTATGTTTGCTAGACTTGGAGGCGATTTAGTAATTCATAAATATGTATGTTTGCTAGACTTTGAGGCGATTTAGTAATTCATAAATATGTATGAATTAATGATTTAGTTTTAGTAATTATTTGATAGAGTTAGAGGCGGATGGAGACGGGAGAACCGAAGAACTACGTACTCTAGGAATTATTGAATTAAGAATTGGTGAAGGATTATTGAATTATTGTATTTCTCCCCTTCTGCGTACTCTTAGATAGTTAGATCTACACATTGCCTAAGAATTAAGATATTATATATATGATTTTTAAAAAAAATGATATTATATATATAATTTATTTATTTATTTTTTTAAATATGGCCTGGCCCGCGGGCCAGCCCGCAACCCGCGCGAGCTCTGGCCCTCCGCGGACCATGCCCGTTAGGCCCGCATTTTCGCGAGCCTAATTTCTTGAGGCCCTAACCCGTCCCATTACGGGGCGGGTACGGGCTAACCCGCGGGCTTTGGCCCACTTTGACACCCCTACTCATAACTGAATACATATAATCTAACATGATACATAATAACATAAACTCTTAACTAAATACACAGAAACTCTTAACTGAATACACATAAACTCTTAACTGAATACACAGAAACTCATAACACAATACATAGAAACTTTTAACTGAATACACATAATGGGGTTTGGGTCGTTTGGACGGACGGAGTGACATCAGAAATTGAAATGCACGCGCTTTGTGTCTGGGCGCACATTGCTATCATGCTATGTGCCGCCGTGATACATAATATAAATTGTCCTATTTCACACTTACATATTAAATTATTAATTCAATGTCTGACAAGTCTTTCTCTCAAACTTTTTTTTTTTTTTGTCTGTAAATATATCTATTAATGTGTATTGACTTCTCATTAAATTATTTTTTAAAATGTCACAATGCAAAAAAAAAAAAAAACAAAAACAAAAAAAGAAACCATATTTACTATTATAAATTTTTTTAAAATATAATTTTTCTTTTTATAATAATAAATACTATACTTTTCAACAATAAAAAAATGCTTATTTATTTAATTATTAAGAATTATTCCCGAAAGTAAGTTGGAATGTCAACATAGTCAGCCTTACTTCCCCGACAACGTTACTCTGATTTCGCAAAGCAAATATTGAATCGGAAAGTTTTATGTACGAGTATTGAATCCAACTTTGCAGCTAAAAACATGTGATTCAAGCCAAGTTGTTGAATTTGAATATTGCAAATGTGTTAAAGAATTGCATAATAATTTGACTTAAAATTTATGTCAAGATCAAGTAATTACTACCGTTAAAATTTTAACTAAAATAGCATTTTAGATACTCATTTTGTGGTACAACTAATTTTGGAATTCACTTTCGATTTGGGTTTGACAAATTAAAGTGGATTCGGGTTTTAATAAGAATATAATTTGAGTTAATACTCAAAATCGTCCTCGACTATAGTGGTTTTTCTCAATTTCTTCCTAAACGACTTTGGTGACCTAATATCGTCCCAGACTTTTGTGTTTCGCTCAATTTAGTCCCAGATTTTTGTGTTTTTGCTCAATTTAGTCCCTCATTTGTTATTCTGTCTATTTGGTGTTAAATAAATAGACAATTCAGTAATTTTAATATTGGCATCTCTTTACTCATAGACATGTGAACTATGCAATCCTTTTTTTTTTTTTACGAATTACTCCTAAAACTGCGAATATAAAATTTGATTTGCAGGTCCGGGAGTAAATCTGGGTGTAATTCGTACAAGAAAGAGGAATTTCGCACTTCACAAGTTGAAAGTAAAGAGAGATCAATATTGACATTACTGAATTGTCCCTTAATTTAATACCAATTTGACGGAATAACAAATGGAGGACTAAATTGAGCGAAACACAAAAGTCTGGGACGATATTAGGTCACCAAAGTCGTTTAGGACGAAATTGAGAAAAACCACTATAGTCGAAGACGATTTTGAGTATTAACTCAATATAATTTTGAATCCTAAGTTTTTTTTTTTTTTTTTTTTTATCAACTTATTCTGCTGCAACCATTACGCCAAAAGTTATAACTATTAACCCATACACAATTATTTCTTTATATTTACGTAATAACTATCACCCCAGTGACATGATATTGCACTCACCCTCTAAGCTGCTGCCCAACAAATAACTATTTCTCTAATCTCTAGAATTTAGAGAAAATATCATTTTTAGTCTCTAGACTATAGTACATGTATCAATATTAGTCTTTGTCTCGTTGACTATTAAAATTTTTAAATTTGATGCATAACTATTCAATTGGTATCACATTCGATTCTTGACTATTAACATTTTCAAATTAAATGCATAACTATTAAACCGTGGTATTAAAGAGGGGAGCAAACATAACTGCCCAAGCTAAGGAAGCAGCACCAACTATTAAATAGACTGTCTTTTACACATAATCAAAAGGGAAGCATTCCAAGAGAAAAGCACAACGGCGGAGAGGATCAAGTAGAGGAGCTAGCTTGCATTATTTCAATATCTATTTTGTGTTTTTGCTAAGAAATGTTTGCAAAAAAATAGGGAGCAAAGTATATATGAAACTATAATCGAATATGCCTAAAAATAAATCAAATATGCCTACGAACAGTAGGAAGCTAGAAGCTAAGTGTAAGGGTGAGATGATGAGGTGGGTAGACAACATACTTTAGTATATATGGTACGTGGAGAAGAATAGTATATGTACAAATTAGCAGTACAAACATGGGACTAACATTATTTGCAGAAGTTGCGGTCTCTGCTATTGGGAAGCGTCAAATATCTCCACAGAGAGATTCTAGCTGTCAGCATAACTAAAACCAAAAAAAAAACACACACACACACAAATTTCGCAACTACGTTCATCACTTTTATGGCATTGATGGGAGGGACATTGGCATGATACACTTCGAGTCGGGTCAAACAATAAATGAGACCGGAGATAGGCACAGGGGCAGGGATGTAGTGCTGGACAAAGGCAATCGAGGTCACCCTGCCTGGTCACAATCGGATAAGAATAAGAGTAGTCGGCCGATAAACGAGAAGAGCTGGATGAGTCCTCTACGCGGTTAATCCGAATGAATGGGAGCCCCATGCGTTCGGTCAGGCAGTTGGCTGAGTGAGAAGGTCGGATGACTGGACGGGTCCTAGGTATAGCCGACCGGGACAGAGGTTCAGCCAGACGGGCCCCAGGGTGATCGAGTACCAAGAGTAATCGTTCGGACCAATGAGCAATCGGTCAGCAACTGGTCGAGAGGTTGTAGTAGTCGGAAGGGGGATCGAGTGGCCATGGGCAATGACTTGACTGGAAGACCAAAGACGTGAAGTCGCCTAAGGGGCATCAAGTACTAATTAGAATAGTCGGGGAAGAGGCACAAGCGGACAACTAAGCAAAGCAGTCTGCCGAAGGGTAGAATAGCCGACTCATGAGAGGACATAGACTGGCATAGAAGATATGACGGAATCCTTAGGCGATCAGGGGAGCGGATCTTGTGGGGCGGCAAGATACACAGAGACAATAAGAAAATGAGATCAACTAAACTTAGGAAAGGGAATCAATTGCACTTAAAAAAGAGATCAAGGGTGTGTTTGGCTCGCACATAGGAATCGAAATCGGAATGGGTATCAAATACTTGGTAATGGTAATGGGTTTTGGTGAAAGTATTTAACATGTTTGGTAGTAGGGTGGAATGGGAATGGTTACTAATAATAGTGCTTGAAAATGAATAAGGGAATGAAACCTTATTGTATTTGGGTATGAGTTTTTCAATTGATGGAGTATTCGAAACCCATAGTAGTGTTCTAAAAACCTATCACCAAACAACAACAATTACTTTCATACCCATTCCTATGGGCAAAACCCACCAACCAAACACACACCAAATATATTTATGGCAAAGAAGACTTGCCTAGTTTAGGCACTTACATTTTTGTATAAATAAGCCCTTGTACACCTTGAAAAAGGTTAAACTTTTCGATACGCACACAAATGCACAAAGCAATACAAAGTATTTACCTTTTTCGTCATCGTGTTTTTATTTTCCGATTGTGTTGCCCCACCGTTTAACTACTCCGATCGTCAATAAAACTAAGAGGCATCAACTACTTTCTTGTAGAGGTAAGCAAACATAACGATAAAGAGACGTTATGCCATGGAACCGTGTTCACCATTCATGGTGAACACGGTTCCAACGGTGTTAGTACACCGTTATCTTCTTCTTTTTTTTTTTCTTAATTAATTGTGTGACTTTTCTTCTTTATTTTCATATTTTGCGGTTTCACTTTAATTTGAGGTGAACAAAGATTTCGGACATTCATAAATTATGAATTCATGCCTGCACATTCACTTTGGAACCATACCTACACATTCCCGTCCGGAATCACGGACATTCATAAATTATGAATCCATGCCTGCACATTCACTTTGGAACCATGCCTACACATTCACTTTTGAACCATGAGATTATGAATTTTCTGTTATAAGATTATGAATTTTCTGTTATGAGATTATGAATTTTCAGTTATGAGATTATGAATTTTCTGTTATGCGATTATGAATTTTCATTACATTCATAATTTCGGACATTCATAAATTATGAATTCATGCCTGCACATTCACTTTGGAACCATGCCTACATATTTCCGTCCGAAATCACGGACATTCATAAATTATGAATCCATGCCTGCACATTCACTTTGGAACCATGCCTACACATTCACTTTGGAACCATGAGATTATGAATTTTCTGTTATAAGATTATGAATTTTCTGTTATGAGATTATGAATTTTCAATTGTGAGATTATGAATTTTCTGTTATGCGATTATGAATTTTCTGTTATGAGATTATGAATTTTCATAAAATTCATAATCTCATAACAGAAAATTCATAATTTGATCAAACGCGCGCCGTTAACTCCACATCCGCGATTTTTTTTTTTTTTTTGCCTAAAAATGACGTCGTTTTGCCTTGTGTTCACCATTCTCGGTGAACACGATTCCATGGCATAATTTGCGAACGATAAAGCACATGTTCAAGGAACTGACACCAACTACTATTGGACAAGAACTGAGCAAAAAATCCCTATTGGATGCTCTTAGGTAACTCATGGCAAATTATACCATGGACCCATGTTCACTTTGCATTGTGGACTTGATCCAAAATAACATTCAAAGTATATATCTTTAAATAATATTTTTGTGTTTACAGTTAACAAATTATGTGCATTTAATAAATTGAAGACACATAATATATTAAATATAAACACATAATATGTTATTAACTGCATATACATAGTATGTTAATTGTAGTAGACACATAATTTATTAACTGAAGGCCCATATAATATGTTAATTATGACAATTTATATCGTTGACCATGTCCAAAATAGCATTGTAGACCCTAGATCAAAATGACGATGTTTTGATATTTAAGCTTTAACAGATTCTATAGTTTTCCGTTTATTATGTTTCAACACAAATTTTAATTTATTCTAGGTACGGAATCAATACTCTTAAGGTACAAAATTTCATAACACGAGACACAAAAACTCACAATACAAGACAGATACACATGTTATATATTTACTTATTCTCAAATATGATTTATTTAGATTATATATATATATATATATATATATATATATATATATATATATATATATATATATATATATGTGTGTGTGTGTGTGTGTGTGTGTGTGTGTGTGTGTGTGTGTGTGTGTGTGTGTGTGTGTGTGTGTGTGTGTGTGTGTATGTGTGTGTGTGTGTGTGTTCTATAGGTAAATAATTTCATAATACAAGACATAAATTCATAAAATAAGATACACAATATGTTGTGTGTTATATAACTACTAATCAATTTCAAGTACAAAATTCATACGCGGTTTTATATTTACTTTAGGTCATATATAGAATCAATATTCTTAAGGTACAGAATTGCATAATATAATACACAAAAACGCATAGCACAAGACACAAAAATGCATAGCACAAGACATAGAATTACATAACATGACATAGAAACACATAACACATGCTTTACAGAAAAAAAAAAAAAATCCTATAATGTGAACTGAACAACAAATTGTCGCTGTCAAAATTAAAATTTAAAACGATATCGCATAGGACCTCGGTCCAGTGCACTGTGGACCCTGATCCACGGTATAACGATTGGTTAATTACAGGACACATACTTTTTAGGGACTGTTATGCCATGGACTCGTGTCCACCTTGCAAGGTGGACACGGGTCCAATATGATGTCGTTCTGCAATTTGAGAGTAACGGTGCCGTTAGTAACACCGTTTTCCCTCTACCAATTAATTTTTTTTTTAATTTGTCAAAAGAATTCAGTGACATCAAATTTTGTGAATATACTGTTACGTAACTATGAATATGGAGTTCTGCAGTTGTGAATATAGAGTTCAGTAATTATGAACATAGACTTCTAGAGTTCAAAAATTATGAACATAAAGTTCTATAATTATGAACATAGAGTTCTGTAATTGTGAATATAGAGTTCAATAATTGTAAATATGGAGTTCAAAAATTATGAACATAGAGTTCTATAATTATGAACATAGAGTTCAGTAATTATGAACATAGACTTCTATAATTATAAATATAGAGTTCAATAATAATGAACATAGACTTCCTGAAGACAAACGCCGTTAACGGCAAAAGAAAGCAAAAAATATTTTTTATTGAGACAACATCATTTTTCACAGTATAATTTGTCAATTTTTAGATCAGGATTCATAATGCAAGGTGGATCTTGGTCCATGGTATAACAATTGGGCAGCTCATGGACTAGGCTTCACTAGATATGGGCTTTGGATTAACAAACCAATTGGGACTGGGACTGGGACTGGGACTAGATTTAGGCCGACATTACATGCTAACTGGCCTTAACCGGTTTAAATCCAAAATCAGGGGCAGAAGCTCAGAAATTTCAACTGCGACTAGCGAGTTCAGACTTCAGAGAGATTTCGCCGATTGAACGCCGGCGAACACACGCAAGAAGAACTTTAGTCCCGTCGCCGGAAGTAGAAGAAGAAGCGGAATTGAATTTGGAGGAAGTAAATCATGTCGACAGCAACATACCCACCGCCACCGCCGTTTTACCGGCTGTACAAGGACTACAGCAATGACCCGAAATCCGCTCCGGAACCCCCTCCTCCCATTGAAGGGACTTATGTCCTTTACGGGTGCAATTACACTGTATAATCCTTTAATCTAATAATTTCTTCCTGGCGAACATAAAATTTTGATTTTGTTGGCGTGTTTTTGTGTTAAATTCCCTTGAATTAATTAGTTATTTCCCTTTAGCATCTACTTAGTTTTATATGGATCAATTCAAAATCTATGGTGCCCTGTAACAAGTCTGTTTTTTTCCCTGAAAAATAACTTTTGTTTGAATATTGCTTTTGAGATTTGTCGTTTGTTCGTTATGTTCTGAGCATAGCATTACAATTAATGCAGACTGATGATGCTCTTCCAAGTTTGGAGGATCAGGGTGTTCGCCAGTTATATCCAAAAGGGCCAAATATTGGTAGGATATTTCTCTGTATCCTTGTTATTTAAGGAAAGCTTGCTATATTAATGTATATATATCCTCTTTCTTTAGTTACAACCTATTGATATACTTTACCCTCTCTTTTATTTTCAAGGGTTCCCAAAGATAAATTTAATGTGTTAGTGATCAGTATCTTGAATCTGAAATCCCCTCGGCCAAGGGGCGCCCTAGGCGGCTGCCTGGGCTGATTTTTACAACACTGAGTGAGATAGATCCGTCCTTAGGGTGGATTCAAAATCCAACTCATAGGGTAGTTATATGTGAGAGTGAATGTTCTGTAAATTTGTTTTTTTTCTGGTCATCTGGTTCTCCCAGTTTTTTTCTTTTTGGACCTGTTTCACTTCAGTTTTTAATTTTGTTCTGAGCAGGATGAGACTTTGATTCTAGTTCCAGTTTGGACTTTGAATGTTATTATCAAGTATGCAGCTTAATTTGCTTTATGTCTAAATTTTGACTCTACAGATTTCAAGAAGGAGCTGCGATCACTCAATAGAGAATTGCAGCTACATATATTGGAGCTTGCTGATATTCTTGTAGAGAGGCCATCACAGTATGCTCGGAGAGTGGAAGAAATATCTCTCATCTTTAAGAACTTACATCACCTTCTCAATTCATTACGTCCCCACCAGGTGTGTTTCTTTGTTTAATTCCATCTTGACCCCAACCTTTTTTCATTTTGTTTGTTTGTTATTTTAATTTATTTTTTTGGGAGAGACCATCATTAAACTCTCGTGTTATTTTCTGTCATCTGCCTTCCATTTTGATAGGCCAGGGCAACCCTTATCCATATCCTAGAACGTCAGATACAACGGCGTAAACAAGCTGTTGAGGACATTAAAAGGTATGTGATATTTGCAAGTATTATTGAAACATAGGTGTAAGTAGTTCATGGTGAAGTTGCTAGCTCTTCCGAAATAAAAATATATAATATGTGACCCTAACGTTAATTCTTAAATTGGTGTCTCAAAAAGAGAAGGAATCATATGTTGAACTGTTAAATGATGTTTCTCTTTCAATGTGTCCATTAATACCATCATCCTAATCAGATTTGTAACTTCCAACTAGTTAGACTAGGGTCTCCCACCGGTTTTTCTTGAATATTTCAAGGCTATGGGCCCAATGGTTAGTAAATACGGGATATATGCAATGTGAGTTTATTAGAATATAGTCAAAATAAAGCAAGCAACTGTTCTTCATGATTTCCAATCAATAGATGCTCAATTGTGCACCAGAAGAGTTTATCTTATGCTGAATGCTCTCTATGAACAACTTTATTTCATTAGTTGAAATTTTCAAGAAATGATTTTGGATTTCTGGCTTCATGCTTCAAAGACATTGTTCTGTTTAATCATTTTCATTTGTTCATTTTAGGATATCAATCTAGCACAACATTCTGTTGATCTTATTGATATCTTCAATGCTTAATTTTGGCTTTGAGAAACACAGTTATATAATGAGGCATCATTGATAAGGAGGAAGAAAGACATGTAATGAGCATCTAAGACTGTGCCTTTGCTTTATGCCTTTATTTATTCGAGTGGGATGGGTGAGAGGAAATTTGATGTTACAAGTTTAATACCACATACACATGCTTGTATAAATGAAAAAATTGACTCAATTTGATGCCTTCTTTATTAGGTACTAATTAAGGGAAGTCTAAATATTAGTTGAATGCTTCAACTCATAAAAATTTTAACTTTTTTTTTTTTTTTGTGTGCAGAAGAAGAGAAGAAGCACAAAAACTTTTGAAGGAAGCAGTAGGGACCCTAGAAGGGCAGTAAAATGCATAGTTTTGAAAATTATTATTATATTGTTAGTTTGAAGAAGTATATGATTTAACCTTGTCTGTAAAATGCAATAGTATTCTGGTGATGATATGTAAGTTGCAGACAACTGTGTTGGTTATATCCTTACTAGTCAGTCCTTTTGATATCTATTAAGTTCTTCTCAATTTCTATCCCATTAAGTTCTACTCGTCCTTCTGAAGCAATACTCCCTTCCTAATCTCCTACTCGTCCTTCCTATTCGTCTTTCTTTGAGGCAATACTCTCATATGAGCTTTGAGGCAATACTCACCTTCTCAAGAGACAATACTTTCATATGAGCTTTGAGGCGATACTTGGCCTTCTCTGAGACAATGTTGATATTTTTTTATGTTTAATTTGATATGCCTGATGATTGTATATTGATTGCATGACATTATAATTGTTATCTCTCTTTGAGACTCCAAACCACCACACCTATATTGCATACCACCCACCAACATGATGGTAATGGATGGTTACAAATGAGATCTTGAGTGGTATTTATATCTATTCCATCTCTTCAATAGATGGTGGAAATCTACTCAATCATACGGTTAGGATTTACTCTCTAAAATCCTCCCAAAATCTCTATACAAACTTGAGGATTCTAAGGTTCTAAAATGTTCTAGTTGATATGTATATGCCTCTAGACTATTCTACAAAGTATGAGATGCTATGTACATGTGCAAGAAAGCTCTAGAGCAATGTAGCAAACCTCAGAATCTCGTAGGAAAGTTGTACGAATCTCGTAGGAAAGTTGTACGAATGCTACATAAGTTGTACGAATGCTACAGTACACTCCTTATTCCCTGGGGAAGGAATAGTAGGAAATTTTCAAAGACAGAATTTCTACGCGTGACAACTCATAGTCAAATCAATAATTTTTAATTTTTTATATTTAATATTTAAATAAAAACTTTAAATATTAAAATCTTAATTTAAACTATTAAATTTAAATATTAGCCTAGTACTTAAATATTTAATTCTTCATAACTTCATTATATATATATATATATATATATATATATATATATATATATATATATATATAATGTACTAGGGATAGGACAAGGTGAGAAGTGATATCCTCATCCTCGGTGGAAAATCCAACTCTATGTCCGCCTTTTTCCTCCTCCAAATTTTAGCCCCCGTCCACATTGGAACAGAGATTTGAGATATTGGAGAAAAATTGTCATGCCTATCTACATGACAGTTTGCCTCTTTATGGAATATGGACACAAGTCACATAACAAATGTTGCATCTACTTGAGGCAAATTAAACCTGCAAATGTCATATTGTCATTAATGATATGCAAGAAATGATCTTTCATATGTCCTTCAAATTTTATATTTTCTACCGCCACTAATAAATTACTTCATAATTCAATATTATAGCATGACACAAAGTAAGATCGTCGAAAAAACTTTCTTCTCGACTCTCTGACTTGGTAAGGAAAATTTCTTGTGATCCAGTTTTTTTCGCGTTTTCCTTTTCCATGCAATCGGCGGCCAGCGAGCTGCCACGACCCCCTCCGGCTCCGGAGGATGGGACGGGAGGGAGAGAAAGGGTGTAATTCACATACTCATTATTTATGTTATAACACACACAATTTAACCCAAGTACACACGGTATTTCATATATCAGTTTTCTTCTTCGTCTGCATTTGTGTAATTCAGATTTATTAAAAATAACAATTGATTTGATTAGTCCAGACAGCAAAATGATTTAAGAAAGAAAATTAAGAAGTTGGTTCTCGTAAGACTCACAACTACAGATAAAATGAGATAGAGAAAATAATAAATATGTACTAGATAATTGTAAGAATGTGGTTATAGTGATATATAACTAAATAAATTATAGATGATCATGTTTTTTCATTTAGAAAATAATTTTTAGAAGTTCAATAAATTCTGTTTTTAGTTTTTAAAATGAAAAAATTATGCTTGAAAACATGTTTTTTATTTTTTATTTTTTTATTTTCTAATTCTCTAATTTTCCTTTTCAAAAAAAATTCTCTAATTTTCAGAAATTTGGAGAATTGAGAAATTATTCGGTTAGTAAATGGAGTTTTCAGTTCTCTGCTCCTCGCCTCTCCCTGTCCATCCCTTCTCACTTTCTCAGGTTCGTCTTCTTGCTCCCTTTAGATTTCAGTTTTTTCGTCCTCGCCACTCAAAGTATGGATGGGTTAATTAAGTTTTCTTCATTGCGAAGGCTGGGATTTGTGAAGGGATGGGTTGAAAGTAGGGATGGTTTAATTCTCCCTGCCGTGTCGATTGTTCAAGACTAGCTGAAATCTGCTTATCATTATTTTCTGCAATTAAGTGGCTTTTGAATGCGCTTTAGTTTTTTCTAGAGAGAATTGACGGTGGTGGTGCATCACATTTCTGAATTGGAAGAAGGATTTCAAGGTGTTTGAATTTTCTTTTCTCCGGTTTATTATTTGCATGGATGGAAATAATCTTGAATTCAGCTTGGTTTGTGAGATTTATCCTTTCAATTTTATTCTATTTAATTTGAATTATCTTTTACTCTTCATGTTAAATTAGATGATTTTGTTTAGTGGGTGACATTTACTTATTTTGAACAGGGTTTTAGTTCTGTGTATATAACTTCGTTTTTAGTTTTTAGTTTTTTTTTTTTTTTTTTTTTTTTTTTTTTTCACTTGGATATAATTTGATTTATATAATTTTGAGTTTGCTTTGAGATCATGCAACTTTATGTTTCCTTAAGCTGTTTTTGTTTGTCAAATAGTGAGTAAAGCTGTAAAAAAGCAGCTGATGTAGTCTGATTTGCCCACAGTTAAGTTCATTTCTATTTATTTTGATTTTAAGAAATATGTGTGCACTTCAAAATCATGTACTATATATATATTTGTTCCTTCATGAAGTTGTTTTGCTTTCAAGTACTGATTTGAGCTTGAGAAGAAACTGCTGATGCAGTCTGATTTTGTTTGAAGTTTTTAGTTGGTGAAAAGATGACAAACCGAACCGAACAAAATCTGAGCCGAAATTGAAATTTTTGAAACCAAACTGAACTACAATGTTAAACCAAATGGTTTCATTTTTTCAAAACCGAACGAAGAGAAACTTTAAAAAAGCAAAGTTGACCTTTATGTACAATCCAAGAAGTAAAAAGATTTGAGCATGATATCATGTAGTGCAATGTAATAAATGGTACTTTTAAAGTTAGTGGCACTTTATATTGAGCATTATTGAATAATATTCTATCTTTATGCTTTCAAGGCATTGCAATTCCTATTCTTCTTTGAGTTCTTTCTGTATTTATGTCCACACTGATTACCTCTCTTCAATAGCATAAAACTGATACCGATATATGATTATAAAGGCAAAAGGCAGACAAATGGAGCAGCAAATTGCAGCTCTACGGCAAGCATTATCTGCAACAAAGCTCATTAAGGAGGATAATGTTCCTTGCAAGATTGAAGAGGTACTAACTACGGATTTTAGTTTTTTTTTTTTTTTTTTTTTTTTTTTTTTTTTTTTTTTTTTCGGTTTATTGATGTCCTTAGTAAATGAGCTTTCTTCTACCTCTATAGGGTCTCTATTTGGGTTCCCTTGGAGCTGCAAATGATAAAACTAGATTGAAAAGCTTGAACATTACACATATTTTGACAGTTGCCCGTGCACTGGCACCCGCTCATCCAAATGATTTTACCTACAAGGTTATTGCTGGTAGGAAAATTATTTAATGAAAATTATTCTCTGAATATTGGAGTGCTCAGTAGTTGATTATGAGTAGAAATTACTGTTTTGTGAACAGTGCTGGACCGAGAAGATGTAGAAATTTCACAGTACTTCGATGAATGCTTTAATTTCATTGAAGAGGGCAAAAGAGTAGGCGGTGTTTTGGTTCATTGCTATATGGGAAGATCCAGAAGGTGGACTTTTGTTCCTTGCCTTGAATTCCTGTGATTGCATACGTTAGAGATGAAGATAACAAAATACTTTTGTTTATATTGTAGTGTGACGGTTGTTGTTTCTTATCTGATGAAAAAGCATGGTATGGGCATGTCTGAAGCGCTGGAACTTGTGAAAAGTAAAAGGCCATTGGCTTGTCCTAATGCTGGTTTTATGTTGGTGCTACAGAACTATGAAAAAATTCTTATAGAGGTATTGCCTTCGACTTTTTATCACGTGATTGAACAAAGTTCAACATTTCAGTTTTGGTTAAAACCAAATATTTGGCCTGGTGTCACTTGTTAATTTCCTTCAAAGAATTATCAGATTTGGCTAAGGGATTTCATAATTCATATAGGTCATAACAATTTTAGGTAGCATTTATTTTCATACATCATAATTGTTAGTTTTATTGGGGTTGGCTCAACATAAACTCAACTTAAGCATGGGTTACTACTCTAAGGGGTGGGTGTGTATCTTGGGGGATCAATCCAAACCGTTCAACTCAACAAAAACTTTGTCAGGTGGCTAGCCTGAAAACTTAATTCAACACCTTAAAACTTGGAATTAGGCGATTGGGGCTAGATGTGTTTGATAAAATTAGTTGCTTATAAGTTTGTCACTGGAATATATATATATATATATATATATATATATATAGGGTCAGGTTCTCGTGCGGCCGTGCAGTCACGCCCCATTAGGTAAGCATAAATGCACCACAAAGTGTCCGAAAATGCACCATTTGGTGTAGTGCATTTTGTGGTGCATTTGTGCATTTCGGAACACTGTGTAGTGCATTTATGCATACCTAATGATGCAATCCGCACCGGCCGCACGGGAAGCCCTGTCCTCATTTGAACCAGTATATATATATATGATTTGGTATGGTGTCGAATTTTAGAAATAGTATGAATCGTTTGAGGAAAATGGAGTTTTTTACGGTTTGGTTGTGATTGTTTGTTTTTTTTGGTGTTTGAATTAGGAAGCTCGGTCGAAATATGAGGGGAAGAAGCTATAGTTACAGTCCTTCACCACCACGGGGCTATAGCAGGAGATACAGAAGTCCAAGCTAAAGAGGTCACCGTGGAGGGCGATTTAGGGAACCTCCTACCAGTCTCTTGGTCCGCAAGCTGCCCCATGATTGCAGGTCTGATCTTTCTGCAATCTCTTTCCTCCAAGATCATGTTTCATAGCATTGAAGTGCATGGTTTTGAGTAAATAAATGCATATATAGGATATGTAGGATTTACAGGTTTATTGGCTGACATACAGATTTCTATAAGCGTCTGCATTTGTCTCATTTATGATAACATTTAGTTATATACTTCTGGTTATACTCAATTTGTGTGATGATGAGCTTTACTTCCACCATGTGTATTGCAAGCATAATTCATTTCCATAAATACCTTAGAACGAAGCCAAATAGTTGGATATCAAGTTTTGTATTTTGTATGAAAAAATGTTTTTTACCTTTGCCTGCTTATTCTTTATTTGTTGTTAATCCATTTTATTTCTTCACCTGTCAGGAATTAGACCTTGAAATTCTGAACTTATTGGGTTAAATATGCTTAAAACCTTCGTTCCAATCACAGTTATACTTAATGAACTGAGACCAACTTTATCCAACCTGGGAATAGGATTTTTGTTCCCAAGAAGTTGAATCCCTGGGCTCCACGCCCCGGCCCAACAGAGCATCTGGGAGGATGTGAATCATGGTAACTTAGTTTAACACGAAGATGGTAACTCAGTTTAACACAGAGGCTAGACATGTGGGATTAATGACTTTTTGTGCTTCAATAGATTGAGAAAGTATGTATGGATAGTTATTGGCCCTTTTTGGTAAAAAAATTGGTCTATAGGTCAATTTTGGCTTATTTGACCACTATTAATTGTTTGATTTAGTTAAAATATCAATATAAATGTTTGGTTAATTAGCTTTTTGCAACTCCAAAAGGCTAAAATTCAAAATGCTATTCCAATCAACTTTTTCAATTAGCTTTTTAAGAAAAGAAATTATACCAAACAGCTATCAGCTAACAGCTAATTTACCAAACACTTTTCTACAATCAGCTAATGTTATCAACTATTTATATCATCTAATTAACACAATCAGCTAACAACTCCAAACAGGGCCATTACATTGTAACAACGTAAATAGTACTTGCAAAACCAAAAAAAACAAAAAAAAAAAAAAAAAAAACTTTTGTATAGCGGGGCCATAGGTGTGTCTGTATTTGGAGTACAATTCTTCTACGTATTGAGCAAAAGAGTTGCTTGTACACTAGAAAGTGATCATTCTTCCCCTTTCTCCTGCAAAACAGATAAGTCTCAAAAACATGAATCTTTTGTGGTTCCCCACAAATATTACAAACTATTTGAAGCACCAAATTGCGTATATATCTTTATTATAATAATCATAATCATTATTGAAATAACAAAATAGGGGAATTACACACTAATTTCTCTTTATTTTTCCCCTCCGCCCACTGTTGTTGATAAAAAAGATTTCGGCTCTAGCATCTAGTGGAATGTGTCACTGTCACATATAGAATTATTTAAGGAAAAATGACACTTTTTCCCCTTAGAGTTATATATAGCACTTTTTCTCCCTGAATTATTCAAGTGAATATTTTTTTTCGCGAAATGTTAAATGGACATATTTATCCTTATTTATTTTTCTTCTCCAACAAATTATGACCACAATTTGGTTCAAACCAAACAGACACTATAGCAACCAAATCGAAATATTCTAATTACAATTTAGAATTGAAACTCGATATTTAGAGTTTATTAAAATCGCGAACCGAGGACGGCCGATTCATGTTCCGAACTGAAAAAAATAAAATGCATTTATTGTTGAATTTAGACTATTTTAAAATAAAGACGGTTCAAAATCGCGAATCAGATCTGGAACCGCCGGTTCACGGTTCAGGATCCAGTTTGTTCGATTCATAATTTTAATAAACTGAAATCCAAATACTGGGTTCTGAATCTGAATTATAACTGAAAACTTTTATTCGATTCCTATAGTGTCCGGTTCAATTCGAATCGAATCGTGATCATCTCTATGTATACACAATAATTTGTTGGAGAAGATAAATAAATAAAATGTTTATTTTAAGAGTTAGAAATATCAATTTAATATATCAGGAAAAAACTGCCACTTTTAAAATAATTGAAAGGACTAATATACTTACATAAATAATTCAAGGGAAAAAAGTGCTATAAATATATAATTCAGGGAAAAAAGTGTCATTTTCCCATTATTTAATTTAGACAAAAGTGAACATGGAACATTTGAGCATTTTAGTCGTGTTATTTAAATGTATATCAACTTTTAAAGAGGTGGTTTTGCATTTTGTACAAGATTTCATATAAATATTTACCAATTACTTTTTCAATGCGTATTTGTTAAAATAATCTTACTCATTGCTCCACTAAATCAATGCATAAACCTGGGTGCACAACTGTCCCGGAGACCGATAAACACTAACTAATTTGATTAAGGATACAAATTTGTAATCACAGTATCACGAGTTTGAATTCCAACTTTCTTGGTTTCAGTCGGTCATTTATCGATAGTTTAGGCTGGTTTACCTCCTTGTGGTCCTTTGTGGCCAGTAGAGTTTATCCAGTGCACATCTTTAGATAGTGATTGTGGATTTTTTTCATCATTCAAAAAAAATGCATAAACTTGGGTGCACAAATAAGGATTCAACACCAAGGTATACTCGAGAGATGTTGAATCGATACGTCAAGAACATACCTCTCCTTTGAATACGTTTCTCATAAAATTGAGCCCCTTGTACCATTTCAACCCTTAGCTTAGCCAACCATTATACCATAGATCATTGACATAAAATTTATTTTTAGTATAATGAAAGATCATTTTTAATACAATATGATGGTTTTTGGGTTTTCGGGCCCAAGGAGGTCCAACACAACCTTAAGCTGGAGGATACACCTTTCACAAAAAGTCTATATTTTTAGTGAAGTATGATGCTCAATAGTGCTCTCTATTTCCCTCTCCGGGTTCTCCAATCTCCCTCTTACAAGGGTGGAGGAGCCCTTTTTATAGTGGCTCCTCCTCTACTGACTTAAAGGCTCACGATGGCCGACTTCAAGATTACATTTAATGCGCCGAGCCGTTGGGCGACGTTACGGACTCTGCCAACGGCTCTCTCTGGCCGGTAACTGGCGGACCGAGTCCGACCTTTAATGCCTCAACGGCTCCTTGCCTTAACTGCTCTGAAGGCTCCTTCAACGGCTCTCTGGGCCGGGTCCTCTCCTGGGCCGTGCCTGGGCCGACTCCTCGCCCCCGTTCGGCATTGGGCCGTCCTTCTTTGGACCTGGGCCGAGTCCTGGACTCAGCCCATGCATTCCTTCTGGGCCTCTTTTCTTGGGCCGGGGTTCTCACCCCATCAACTAGTCCCTCACTTTTCCATACCCGGTCCGCCATCCTAGGTTTGGAAAAGTAGTAACCGCCTCCTGCTTACCGAATCCGTGCCTTGAATGACTCCGGATTGGCCCAGATTATCTGCGATCTCCCGGATCTTGCGGGACCGTTCTGATCTCCTCGGCCTGGCCTGGCACCTATAAATGATCTTGGCCGTTCTTCTCTTAACTCACTAATTCCTCATGGGTCGCTCACCACTGAAAGGGAAGCGGATTGACTTTGGGTCGCCCCGGCGCCCCTTGCCTTCGAAACGGACTCGGCCTGAGAGGGAGCCTAAAAGGAAGGCTCCCCGTCCGACTCCACAGAGATCACCTGTTGGCACTGCCTCCATGGCTCTTCATCCGCCGACTCCTGCTCGTCGCGAAGTCGCTTCGACTTCTCGCCCTTCTCTTCCTCCGAGGGCTGCTCGAGTAACTTCCCCAGGCGGGACCGTTGTTGACGTGCCTGTCCCAGAGCAGCTGACCTTCCGTATGACCTTTTCTATTCCTCTGGATGACTTGGACGGTCCGGTTACAGGGCTAATGAACGAGGAAGACTTTACTCGTTATCAGGAGATGTACCCGGACGACGAAGAGCTGGTTATTCCACCACTCATGCCGGCGTTCTGGGACTCGCTTTGCCCACCTTTTCCTGGACCATCGGGAGGGTTCTTTGGAAGCGACTCCTCATCGCCGAGTGAGTGATCTTTGTGAACTGGGGTCGGCCGGATTCTCTAGAGGGGTAGCTCTTTTAGGAGCACTTGCTTACTCTGTAATAAGCTCCTTGTAACCTGCACCTTCTTTATTTTATAATAAAATATTTTCGGCCTTCAATTTTCATCTTTTTCAGTATATTTAGTGTACTCGTCCGTCCCAATTGTTGAGGAGTCGGCTGCGATGTCGAGTCCTCCCTCCGCTTGACACCTGTAAAATTTCGCTTCCCAGGGCGAGCCAGGCTTTTTTCAGTTTAGCGTGCGAATCTCACCCTTCCCAAGCTAATTGGATGGGATTAATCTCTGACAGAGATTCGCGCTGCCCATCCAATCCGGCTCAGTTATGTCAGTTACGATTCCCTCCGTGATTTGTGCCTCGGTCGTCGTTCTCTCGAGGCTCTATATAAGGGCTCTTGGTAGCTTTGTGCTTTCTCACCATTTCACATTTCAAAACCTCAAGCCATGAGTTTCAGGGACGGTGATCGTCGTTGGTCCATCCGTAATAAGGAGCATGCCCGGCAGGAGGAGCTCCGGCGGAAGAGGGCGGCTAGCGGAGGGCACTTGGTGGGCGACTCCACTTCTGATCCCATCGTGGTGCCTCCTGACATGCTTGATCTGATGGTCGTGGAGCCGGAGGAGGACGAGATGGAGCCCATGGTAGAAGACCCAGAGCCAGAGGAGGACCTAGACTGGGAGGCTCCTCCGCTTTTTGGCGTGGCCATGTCACCAAGTGCTCTGGAGAGGCCACTGCGGATGGTCGTTGACGGGAAGCCTGCCGTGTATCTGGATGAACTGCCCGAGCCCGAGCCTGAGCCGAGTCCGTTGCCTTTCCGCCCCCACTACTACCTAGAGGGTCCGCAGCCGGTGCGTCACGCGGAGGAGGAGGAAGTTAAGCCCTAGGCCCGTCTTTTCTGTGTAATGCTTGTGGCCGAGTCCTCGGCCTTGTATCCCTGTCTTTATGGAATAAAAATCTCGTTTTTACTTTTCGGTTCCTGGTTTTTGCGTGTTCCTTTGGCCGACTCTTGGTCTTCATGACCGACCTGTAAGCCCTGTCCGACTAAGCCCTGTGGATGAAGGACTCGACAAATCCGTTGGCCGACCTTGCGACCTGAAGCTCGTCCAGGCCTCTCCATTTGGCCAGACCCAGCCGGGTCACTTCTAGAAACTTCTAGCGTGATCTGGATGGGCCCCCATAGCTTTTGCCTTGATGGGCCTTTGGCCTGGCAGGCCGGGTCATTGTCACTCGACCTCGGTCTAGGGTAGACGCGCCGTTTGCAGGCTAGCCCTAGG